ATCTCTGTAGGCTGTACCATCACTGTTTGTTCTCTTTACCCGTCTCCAAGAGAGACTTACGATCAATCAGGTAGTGATAATTTTCCCATCATTTTGAAGGAGATTGGCCATGGTTGCTGCCACCCGATCCAAATACCTTGGTGGAAGTTGGAGCAGTCTGACTGGCTCTCCTTCACTGCTCTCTTGGAACAAGATCCTGCTGTCATTAGTCTTCCATCTATTAACAACTGCATGGAGGCAGTAACTGATTGTATAATTCAAGCAGCTGTTTGTTCTATCCCTCAAAACCTCGACATGTTTCCCACAGTATCCTCGTCCATGGTGGTCTCCTGCCTGCCAGGAGGCACAGAAGACTAAAAAACAGGCCTGGGATACCTATCATAGCTACCCTACTCTTTTCAGCCATGTTGCTTTCCAGCTGGCCCATGCCCATGCTCAGCAGGTCAGACGTCAAAGTAAGAGGGAATCTTGGATTAAGTTCACCACCGGTTCCAAAGTCGTCTGGTACAAGATTTGGAAGGTCAAAGGGAAATATTTTTTCCATCACCTTTCCATCTTGTTCTCCAATGGCCAAGAAGTTCCTGATGTAAAGAGCATCGCCAATACACTTGAAGAGTGCCTTTCCCACCTTTTCAGCACTTCTGTCTCTTCTCTCGCCTTCTTGGTCATTAAATCTCGGGCTGAGCAATCGCCCCTTTCCTTTTGGGCTGATAATCTCTATGATTATAGTCGCCCATTTACATTGGTCGAACTTAAGCTTGCTCATCATCAGTCTGGCAGTACATTACTTGGACCCGATAATATTCACTATGAGATGCTGCACCATTTCTCTCCTACCTCTCTTGCTCTTCTTCTGGTTGCTTTAAACTGGATCTGGCAGGAGAATGTTTTTCCAGATCCTTGGCACAGGGCTATTGTTCTTTCTTTTTCCAAACCTGGGAAAGATTCCAAGTTTCCTCTAATTATCATCCAATTGCTTTGACTAGGTGTCTCTGTAAGGTCTTGGGGAGTGTTTTTCCAGATGCTTGGCACAGGGCTATTGTTCTTTCTTTTTCCAAACCTGGGAAAGATTCCAAGTTTCCTTCTAATTATCATCCAATTGCTTTGACTAGCTGTCTCTGTAAGGTCTTGGGGAGGATGGTTAATGCACGTTTCATTCGGTTCTATGAATCAAACAACCTCTTCTCATTCATCCAATGTGGTTTTTGTCGAGAGTGCTCCACCATGGACCACCTGATTCATCACGAAACCTCGATCAAGGAAGCTTTTCTCAAGAGAGAGCATCTTGTTTCTGATGTCTTTGATTTTGAGAAGGCTTATGACACTACATGGAGGTTTGGAATTTTGCAGGACTTTCACTCCTGTGGGATGCTTGGCTATTTACCCATTTTTCTTCATAACTTTTTACTTGACAGGTGATTCCAAGTCTGTGTGGGTTCGACCCTTTCCCATTCTTTCATACAGGAACTTGGAGTCCCTCAGGACTGTGTCTTAAGTGTCACCCTTTTCAGTATCAAAATCAATGCTATCACTAAACAACTTCCTCCTACTGTTGCAAACAGCCTCTATGTCGATGACCTCCACATTTCTTGTTGGTCATCGAACATGGGATATATTGAGCAGCAGCTTCAGACTGCCCTCACTCGCTTGTTGAAGTGGACCACTGCAAACAGTTTTCTCTGCTCTTCCTCTAAAACCGTTTGCATTCATTCTTGCCACCAATGAGGTTTACACCCCAATCCTGAGCTCTGTCTTGGTGGTGTTGTTCTTTCTGTGGTTCCTGAGGCAAAGTTCTTGGGGCTTATCTTTGACCGTAAGCTTACTTTCATTTATCACATTAAGCAGCTTCGAGTCAAGTGTACAAGAGCATTGAACATCCTCTGTGTCCTCTCTTTCACCTCTAAAAGTTTACTCCTGATATTAGATGGTGTCATTGGTGATGGTGATACTGTCCAGCTTGATTGTGTTTTTATTTTTTTTATGGGTCATTGGACTTTTTACATTTATTTAGATTTTTACCTAAATTTTGGGCTTTGTTTCATATTTAACTTGTTTCCTTTTTATATTTTGTTGTATTTTACTTGCAGCTTTTTTACCAGTTGTTTGGCACAGATAGCCTAGTTACTTTGCACCAATAAATGTCAAACAACCAACCAACTTCAAGGTGATGGTGTGCATGCTTAAAGAGAGATTGCAAATTTGCTGAAATAATGAAAAAATGTAAAGATATCAAGAAGAAAATAAGGCCTACAAGAAAGAGAGAAAACTTTAAAAAGACAAAACTTATGAAAGGAAGTACAAGAACAAAACAAAATATTTACAGAAAATTCACAAAGAAAAATAAATTTGATGGAAGACGGCATAGAAAATGTACAGATTAAAGTTGAAAAACCTATAAGATATGAGCTGAAGGAATATAATAATAAGATCAACAAAGTACAAAAGAACATCAACAAAGCAAAAAAAACAACATCAATGTTATGATTAAACATATGAAAACTCAACTGGCAAATGCAAAAATCAAAAATGCAAAAATGCTGTTACAACTAGGGTAAAACAAAAACAATTTATTAAATATAACAACAAAAATCCAATCAAAAACCTTTTAAAACAACTAAGATACAAATTTTAACACTTACAAAAAAAAAAAGATTAGTAAACCTATGTCTGGCCAGCATTAGGTAAAATCATTAATAAACAATACAACATAAATCTTGATGTTATGATGTATTAATGCCAGTGAATGAAGGAATTATGAAAAAGAACAAGAAGAATAAAAACCTAATTCACCAGAAAATATTTCAAAATTAAACCACTTCTCAATATCAAGAACAATATTGAGCAATAATTATTTTTAACCATATCTTTTTAACCCATTTTCAAGATCATGGAAGGCATTTTATTTAGTGATTAGATCAAGCAGCAACATCTCATGTGACTAGCTATTACCATAAATCTATATAATCCTTCACAACATTAATATCCGTATGTCACCGTATATACATATATACTCAAAATCAATATTCCCTAGATAGAATTTAATATAACTAAATGATAGAAAGAAGAATAAATGAATGGTAAACTAAACCATAACAGAATAGAAGTAGAATTTGTTACCTCATATCCATAGCTGCTAAAGAATTCCAACTTCAAATTTCATGCAGAAGCTATGCAATAGATATAACTATCTGGTCTACACCCGTTACCACTAATGCTGTGTCACCTATGACTGCTGGACCTTCCTGGACTATTTCAGCTATACTACTCCATCATCAAATTATAGAACTTAGCAAGCCAGATCAACAATACTGCCCACCAGAGAAATCAACAGACTGTGACCCGAGAAGTACCATGGGAAGAATTAGGGGCAATTTGAAATGAATGGATGGACTAGCTAACAACAAACTACTTATCTTGCTGCTGATTTAAAAGAACCAGGATGAACAACATTAAGTGACCTTCCAACAGAGAGACATAAAACTACCAGGCATTATGATGGCTGCCTTATTAAACAGATTTGGCGTGTTACATCAGAAGAAAGTTTCTGAAGCAAATTAATTATCTCCACTGTGATGTCTCATATAGCAACTGACAGGGAGGTACTCGATGGCAGGCCTCTACTTAAATGTTCTGTCTTGGGCCTATGACCACCACATTCAGATATTGAGCTCTTATGTCCCAGGAGCTGGTGGTGGATTGACTGTCTTGCTTGAAATCAATCCCTCCCATGGAGTGGTCTCTCTCTGTCCTTTGATATTTCAGTGGAATTGTTCCCACTTTGGATGTCCTCTCATTGATGCTTTTGTAACTCCCCTCAATACCAAGCTACCTCTTTTTTGTTCATCATTCCCAGACTCTGTAGCTCTGGCAGTAAATATTCTGAGCCAGGATTGGACCTGGCTTTTTGAGAATGAATTATCAGTTTCTATAACCATCAGTTACAAGATGTCTTTGTCAATGACTTTCAGTCTCTTTTTCTTTCTTCAGTTCGTATGGACCACTTCCAAGTTTTTCTAATCAGTTATCCTCTTCATCTAGTATATCTTCCAGATTGGAACCTCTGTTTTGTTCCCCAAGCCCTCACATGTTCCTTGTATTATTTTTTTCAAGATGTATTTCTTTATTCTTGCTTGTGGGAGACACTGCTCTGACATTTGCCTTAGAAACCTCCAAGACACTTTATCACAGGGATAGGATGATTTTATTCCCAGACTGAACCTTTCTCCCTTTTGGCTCAAGAAGGTGAACGTATATGTTTTCTACTCTATACAATCGTTCCAACCTCAATCATATTCTATGTCCTGTCTGTTATCTCTTCATACTGCTTCCATATGTGGCGATTTCCACATATCTTGTGACACATCACCTGCGATTTCCACATATCTTGTGACACATCACCTGCGATTTCCACATATCTTGTGACACATCACCTTCCACTTTGACTAGTTGCGTTCATTAACTCATCCAGCCTTTTCCATGTCTATCAACTTTATCAAATAACCTTCCATCAGGTTCATCATCTCCTGGTTTCACCATCGATGTCCCCTTGATGAGAACTGGAAGAAACTGATGTGGACAACCTCTGACACATTTGTAGCCAATTATATCATACAGTGTTTTTGTAGCTAGTTACATCTTACAGTGTATTTTCTCCCTCCAGACATCACTCTACAGTCTTACAAGACACTAACAAAGTGAACGTTAATTATTTTGATATTGTTTTCTTTTAATAGCTCCCTCATTGCCATTATGATATATCAGTGTATATATACTAGAGATGATGGAACTCACCGAGTGGATAGTTATGCCTAACAGGGAATACTTCTCTTTCCTGTTGGTAGAGAGCTATAGTCTGATGATAATTACATTATAAGCTGGTGCAATACACGTTAATACGTATTGGAATAGGAGACTCATTGAAGGCAGTGGTGCGAAGTACGTGTGTGTTTTATAGCAAAATCACATCAGATTATCTGCTGTGTTCACTGAGGGGAATCAAACCCCTGATTTTAGTGTTGTAATTCCATTAGTGTTCTAATGCTGGCCCATTGGGGGACAGGTGCAAAGTAATAGCTCTCTTTGTTATGTAGAAAGATGTGTAACTATCTGAACAACTTGTTTGGGGAAGGAAAATGTTAACTTTAAAATGAATAAGGCAAGTTGAAGTCAAGGAAGGGTAATTAAAATACATAATGTAGTAGGCCTTTTTTCAGCAGTTATTTGTAAAGTGTGATCAGTATCTAAATCATTTTTCAGTAGTTGTTTGTACAGTCTGATTAGTAATTAAATCTTTATCAGTAGTTGTTTGTACAGTCTGATTAGTAATTAAATATTTATCAGTAGTTGTTTGTACAGTCTGATTAGTAATTAAATCTTTATCAGTAGTTGTTTGTACAGTCTGATTAGTAATTAAATCTTTATCAGTAGTTGTTTGTACAGTCTGATTAGTAATTAAATCTTTATCAGTAGTTGTTTGTACAGTCTGATTAGTAATTAAATCATTTTC